GTAATATATACAGGAAGAAGAGGTTACTAGCCCTTGCCCCCGGCATTTTAGTCGCCTCTTACAACACGCATGGCTTAGGGAGGAAGAATTCTGTTCCATTTCCCCCATGGAGATAAGAGGAAAAAAACAAGAATAAGAACTAGAAAGAAAATAGAAGAAAACCCAGGAGGGGTGTGTATTTTGTGCTTGTACATGTATGTGTAGTGTGACCTAAGTGTAAGTAGAAGTAGCAAGACGGACCCGAAATCTTGCATGTTCATGAGACAGAAAAAAGGACACCAGCAATCCTACCCTCATGTAAAACAATTACAGGCTTTCGTTTACACTCACTTGGCAGGACGGTTTGTACCTCCTGGGCGGTTCTGTCTACCAACCTACTACCTAGGATATTATATATATATATTTATATTTTTATATATATATATATATATATATTTTATATATAAAATATGTATATATATGTATATATATATATATATATACAGTGGACCCCCGGTTTAACGATTTTAATCCGTGCAAGAGGGCTCATCGTTATGCGAAATAATCGTTTTATGCGAATGAATTTTCCCCATAAGAATAATGGAAATAAAAATTAATCCGTGCAAGACGCCCAAAAGTATGAAAAAAATTTTTTTTACCACATGAAATGTTAATTTTAATACACACAAACTGAAAAAGGCATGCACAATTACATGACACTTACTTTTATTGAAGATTGGTGATGATTGATGGGATGGAGGAGGGGGAGAGCATTATCTTCTTACTGTTTAGAAGGGGAATCCCCTTCCATTAGGACTTGAGGTAGCAAGTCCTTTCTGGGGTTACTTCCCTTCTTCTTTTAATGCCACTAGGACCAGCTTGAGAGTCACTGGGACCTCTGTCGCACAACAAATCTGTCCATAGAGCTCTGTACCTCCCGTTCCTTCAAGACTTTCCTAAAATGGGCCATAACATTGTCATTGAAATAGTCACAAGCACGGCTTGCAACAGCTGTGTCAGGGTGATTTTCATCTATAAAGGTTTGCAGTTCAACCCACTCTGCACACATTTCCTTAATCTTGAAGTAGGCACAATGGATTCCACAAACTGGCATAGGCTTCTCAGGGTTAGCCCCAAACCCTTCAAAATCTTTCTTAATTTCCATACTAATTCTCACCCTTTTTACCACAGGGTTGGCACTAGAAGCTTTCTTGGGGCCCATGGTCACTTATTTTCCAGAAACAGCACCGAAAACACTGTAATAATACGAATATTCCGAGTGTATGCTTGGATGTTACGCGGAGGCTGGCTGGTAAACAATGGGACGGCCGGCACATGTGAGGGCACATTGGACGTGTCTCGGACGAAAATCGGTATGCGGGTTTTTAATCGGTATGCGCGGCAAAAATTTTGCGATAAAAGTAATCGTTATGCGGAAAAATCGCTATGCGATGCCATCGTTATGCGGGGGTCCACTGTATATATATATATATATATGTATATATATATATATGTATATATATATATATATATTATATATATATATATATGTGTGTATATATAAAATAAATAAATAAATAATTAAATAAATATATATAGTATATTATATATATTATATATATATTATATATATATATATATTATATATATATATATATATATATATATATATATGTAAATATTTATTATTTTATTATTATCACACTGGCCGATTCCCACCAAGGCAGGGTGGCCCGAAAAAAAAAAAACTTTCACCATTATTCACTCCATCACTGTCTTGCCAGAAGGGTACTTTACACTACAGTTTTTAAAGTGCAACATTAACCCCCTCCTTCAGAGTGCAGGCACTGTACTTCCCATCTCCAGGACTCAGTCCAGCCTGCGGTTTCCCTAAACCCCCTTCATAAATGTTACTTTGCTCACACTCCAACAGCACGTCAAGTATTAAAAACCATTTGTCTCCATTCATCCTATCAAACACGCCACGCATCCCTGCTGGAAGTCCAACCCTCGCACAAAAACCTCCTTTACCCCCTCCCCCCAAACCCTTTTCCCCTAGGCCGCCCCTACCCCCCGCCTTCCTTCCATACAGACTGATACACTCTTGAGTTATTCTTTTTCGCTCCGTTCTCTCCACATGCCCGAACACCTCAACAAGCCTTCCTCAGCCCTCTGGACAACAGTTTTGGTAATCCCGTACCTCCTACTAACTTCCAAACTACAAAATTCTCTGCATTATATTCACACCACACATTGCTCTCAGACATGAAAACTCCACTGCCTCCAGCCTTTCCTCGCTGCAACATTCATCACCCATGCTTCACACCCATATAAGAGTTTTGGGTTAAAACTATACTCTCATACATTCCCCTCTTTGCCTCCAAGGACAAAGTTCTTTGTCTCCACAGACCCCTAAGTGCACCACTCACCCTTTTCCCCTCATCAATTCTATGATTCACCTCATCTTTCATAGACCATCCGCTGACACGCCCACTCCCAAATATCTGAATACATTCACCCCCTCCATACTCTCTCCCCCCAATCTGTATCCAATCTTTATCACCTAATCTTTTTGTTATCCTCATAACCTTACTCTTTCCTGTATTCACTTTCAATTTTCTTTTTTTGCACACCCTACCAAATTCATCCACCAATCTCTACAAACTTCTCTTCAGAATCTCCCAAGAGCACAGTGTCATCAGCAAAGAGCAACTGTGATAACTCCCCTTTATGTGTGATTCTTTATTTTTTAACTCCACCCTCTTGCCAAGACCCTCGCATTTACTTCTCCTACAACCCCATCTATAAATATATTAAACAACCACGGTGACATCACACATCCTTGTCTAAGGCCTACTTTTACTGGGAAATAATTTCCCTCTTTCCTACATACTCTAACTTGAGCCTCACTATCCTCGTAAAAACTCTTCACTGCTTTCAGTAACCTACCTCCTACACCATACACCTGCAACATCTGCCACATTGCCCCCCTATCCACCCTGTCATACGCCTTTTCCAAATCCATAAATGCCACAAAGACCTCTTTAGCCTTATCAAAAATACTGTTCACTTATATGTTTCACTGTAAACACCTGGTCCACACACCCCCTACCTTTCCTAAAGCCTCCTTGTTCATCTGCTATCCCATTCTCCGTCTTACTCTTAATTCTTTCAATAATGACTCTACCATACACTTTGCCAGGTATACTCAACAGACTTATCCCCCTATAATTTTTGCACTCTCTTTTATCCCCTTTGCCTTTATACAAAGGAACTATGCATGCTCTCTGCCAATCCCTAGGTACCTTACCCTCTTCCATACATTTATTAAATAATATATATAATATATTATATATATATATATATTATATATATATATATATATATATATATATTTATATATATATAATATATATATATATATATATATTATATATATATATATATACAGTGGGACCCTCGACCAACGATGGCATCGATTAACGATAAATCCGACTAGCGATACATTTTAACGCAAACTTTTTGCCTCGACTAGCGCTAAAAAACTCGACAAACACTATTCGTTCTGTCTGAGACGCGTCCACTTCTGGCCAGTGTTTGCAAGCCAGCCAGCCACCGCGGTCGCTTCCAAGCATACAATCGGAACATTTCATATTATCACAGCCTTTTTAGTGATTGCACCTGCAAAATAAGTCACCATGGGCTCCAAGAAAGCTTCTAGTGCCAACCCTACAGCAAAAAGGGTGAGAATTACTATGGATATGAAGAAAGAGATCATTGCTAAGTATGAAAGTGGAGTGCGTGTCTCCAAGCTGGCCAGGTTGTACACAAAACCCCAGTCAACCATCGCTACTATTGTGGCCAAGAAAACGGCAATCAAGGAAGCTGTTCTTGCCAAAGGTGCAACTATGTTTTCGAAACTGAGATCGCAAGTACTCGAAGATGTTGAGAGACTGTTATTGGTGTGGATAAACGAAAAACAGATAGCAGGAGATAGCATCTTCCAAGCGATAATATGTGAAAAGGCTAGGAAGTTGCATGACGATTTAATTAAAAAAATGCCAGCAACTAGTGGTGATGTGAGTGAATTTCAGGCCAGCAAAGGTTCGTTTGAGAGATTTAAAGGGAAGGGAAGTAACCCTGGAAAAGGACTTGCCACCTCTAGTCCAAATGGAAGGGGATTCACCTTCTAAACACTAAGACCATCAACACTCTCCCCTCCTCCCATCCCATCAATCATCACCAGATCTTCAATAAAGGTAAGTGTCATGTAACTGTGCATGTCTTCTTCAGTTTGTGTGTATTAAAATTAATATTTCATGTCGTAAAAACAATTTTTTTTTCATACTTTGGGGTGTCCTACATGGATTAATTTGATTTCCATTATTTCTTATGGAGAAAATTAACTTGACTAACGATAATTTTGACTAACGATGAGCTCTCAGGAACGGATTAATAGCGTTAGTCGAGGGTCCACTGTACATATATATATATAAACTAGTAATGTTACACTGAAAATGAATTGTACTGATTGTATTGCTAGATTATTGGCGATTATATTGCAATTAAAGTATATTTCTAAATTATTGATAAGCAAATGCAAATTATAGTTCTTTTTTATTACGTACCTATAAGCATAATCCAACCTATAATTCTTACAACAATTAAATATGATAGATGTTAAATAATGTGTTAATATGCTTGTTTGCCCTCCTGGTAATTCCCAAATTCATTATTCATGACCCCTTATAGACCATATCTATATATACATGTATAAGCAAACAATTAGTTATTGCCCTTTCAGTCTTAAGCTAGGTTTAAGTTTGTCCAAAATGCTCTGCACAGAAATGGGCTTTCTTCATGCACTTAAATGTCACCCAACTCTAAACATTGTATCAAGCTGAAAAATTATTATTATTATTATTATTATTATTATTATTATAGATCATCACTAAAGAAATGTGCATAAAACAAGTAATAATGGTGACTAAGATAATCAACAAATACACCTGTAGCTCTACCTGAAGTAGTTGTCTCTGATGGCCGCATAATCTTCCTGTCCAGCTGTGTCCAGAATATCAATCTGCACCTCCTCACCATCAAGAACAACCTTCTTGCGGTAACTGTCAGCCTTGGTGGGCTCGTAATCTTCAACAAACTGAAACAGTCAAGCATATACTTAACAGACACTGGCAACCTATTAAACAATCTAGCTGTTACTTATGAAAAGACTCTGACAATGACTCCTCCCCATCAGCAAGAGGCTCACTCTAAAAGCCTCCACGGAAATTCACATAAAAACTTTTCTGGACTCGGTGTAAATGGCATACAATTATCTCAGCCAGTTACTTGGGTTCACTCAGATGTCTTGTGGAAAAGATACGGTTTCCTCAGATGTTTTCTTGTGGAGAAGGTATGGTTCAGATGTTTTCTTGTGGAGAAGGTATGGTTCAGATGTTTTCTTGTGGAGAAGGTATGGTTCAGATGTTTTCTTGTGGAGAAGGTATGGTTCAGATGTTTTCTTGTGGAGAAGGTATGGTTCAGATGTTTTCTTGTGGATGGAGAAGGTATGGTTTCATCAGATATTTTCTTGTGGGGAAGGTATGGTTTCATCAGATGTTTTCTTGTGGATAAGGTATGGTTTCCTCAGATGTTTTCTTGTGGATAAGGTATAGTTTCCTCAGATGTTTTCTTGTGGATAAGGTATAGTTTCCTCAGATGTTTTCTTGTGGATAAGGTATAGTTTCCTCAGATGTTTTCTTGTGGATAAGGTATGGTTTCCTCAGATGTTTTCTTGTGGATAAGGTATGGTTTCCTCAGATGTTTTCTTGTGGATAAGGTATGGTTTCCTCAGATGTTTTCTTATGGATAAGGTATGGTTTCCTCAGATGTTTTCTTATGGATAAGGTATGGTTTCCTCAGATGTTTTCTTGTGGATGGAGAAGGTATGGTTTCATCAGATGTTTTCTTGTGGATAAGGTATTGTTTCTTCAGGTGTTGTCTTGTAGAGAAGGTATGGTTTCCTCAGATGTTTTCTTGTGGATAAGGTATTGTTTCTTCAGGTGTTGTCTTGTAGAGAAGGTATGGTTTCCTTAGATGTTTTCTTATGGATAAGGTATGGTTTCCTTAGATGTTTTCTTATGGATAAAGTATGGTTTCCAAGATGTTTTCTTGTGGATGGAGAAGGTATGGTTTCCTCAGATGTTTTCTTGTGGATAAGGTATTGTTTCCTCAGGTGTTGTCTTGTAGAGAAGGTATGGTTTCCTCAGATGTTTTCTTGTAGAAAAGGTATTGTTCAGAAGTTTTCTTGTGAAGAAGGTATGGTTTCCTTGTTTTTTTTTTCTTGGATGAGTGAAACATATGCAACAGCTGATTATGTTTACTACCAAAGCGTTTTGCCTGTTCTGCAAGCTTCTTCAGTCTGAAGTCCCTGGAATGCAGTCGACAAAGATACATTACAATCAACACCTAAAAATTCCTAAGGGAAGTGGTCTCGAATCTGCACATACAAATTACTCCCTATTAAATAACAAAAAAGGCACAATACCGTGACTGGAACGATACACAAATAACCCGCACATAAAAGAGAGAAGCTTACGACGACGTTTCGGTCCGACTTGGACCATACCATTCTTGTACTACTACTACTACCACCACCTCTTCCTGCCTATATATAGCCGTCCTGCTCCACTTCTGGTTAGTGTGACTCTGTCAATGGTCCAAGTCGGACCGAAACGTCGTCGTAAGCTTCTCTCTTTTATGTGCGGGTTATTTGTGTATACTCCCTATTAAAGTTAAGGACTTGATAGACGGTAGAGAGCAGGTGGAGGGGGCCATAAGTACACTAAAATTAAACACAATAAGTGTCCAGGGACCAAGACTGTTCAACAGCTTCCCATCACACCTAAGGGGGATTACCAATAGACTACTGGTTGTCTTCAAGGGGGAATTGGACAGATACCTAAAGCTAGTGTCCGATCAGCCAGGGTGTGTTTCGTATGTTGGAATGCCTGCAGCCAACAATAACAGCCTAGTAAATCAGGCCCTGATTCACCGCGAGTCCTGGTCAAGGATTAGACTGCAGGGGCACTGACCCTCGGGAGAACCTCCAGATAGTCGAATACAGAGGTGACAAATATTATAGATGCAGATCAGCAGTGGTGAAGTAATGATGAGGTAATCAGTCCCTCGCCCTTAAAGTAGTTTTGAGGTGGTCAGTCCCTTATCTTTGACAAATGTTCAGCTTTTTAGCTTTGTGAGAATTAGCCACCGTCCTCAATGAAAATGACCAGCCGTGACCTGACTCAAGTCTGCTCCACCATAACACTGCCTAATAAAACGTCAAGCATTTCCTTGTTCTTGGTGGCCATAAAAGTTAAGATGACTTTCATAAAGCGTGAGATAAGAGACAAAAATAGAGGTGTAGAATATGAAAACATTGGCGTTACTAACCTCGCCATACATGATGTGTGGTGCGAGACAATTAGAGAGAAGAGTGATAGTACCAAGAATATGAACAAAGCAGCACTTACTTCACTGTGCATAAACTGTAGTTTGAGAGAGTAAGATACAAGAGTGCTAGTAACAAGAGTAAAACGAGAACAGCAGCACTCACCTCGTCGTACATAAACTGTAGAGTGAGGGCAGACTTGCCGACACCACCGGAGCCCACCATAATAACCTTGTGTAAGGCTGGCGCCGGCGGATTTTTCTTGGCGCCAGACATCTTGGAGGAGGCCGAGTTCTTCGTGGTGTCGAGTGTGTTGTTGTTGGAGGGAGAAGATAGGCCGGCCAGGTAATGGCCGGCACGAGTGACTGGTTGTTGTAGTGAAGTGACCACGCGAGCTAGCACGCCACTCCACGCTTCTTGCCACCTGCTGCTACTACCTTGCTTGTGCTGCTGTGGTCGTCGCGGCTCAGCTGGGTAGTACACACCAGGTGTGCGTCCGTCACGACTGTAGCTGCAGCTGATGGCCTTCTTCTCCCCCTCCTGGTTGATAGTAATCTTGGCACCGCTGGAACACACAAACATCAACGTTACTTTATCTACACAATACGTTAGCTATTGAACACGCTCAAACATCCTCCACAGCCATCACACCACCTAAGAAATAAGAAGCAGCGAATAACTCTGTACTCAAATCTTTTATGAGAGAACTTGAGATTATTATGATAAAGGGGGAAGCGCTAAACCTACGTAGGATTACAGCGCCTGGGAGGGGGGGGGGATGTGGAAGGTATTCGGGCTTAATTCAGGGAACTGGAGCACAGATGCAATTCCCTAGATCAAGAGCCCCTCACCAGCGTCAAGGGAGAGAACAAGAGAGAAACATCATGTGCACCAACATTATGCACCGCTACACACACATGTAGCCACTGACAACTCATCTAGTAATACAGACATAAAACACCTGTAAGCTCAAGCACTAATAATATATACACGTAAATTACTTTATATATAAACTAATTTTATACATGAAAAATGCTGAAAACTCAGGTAAATTTTAAGAAAAATGTTGACAAAAATCAATTGGCACCTGCTGCTACCTGATAATGTTAAAACTGATTGTGCCCTGATTTACATAAAAGCCTCGACACTCAATACACACTCAGCAATTCTCTACAAGTTCATGCAACAAACGTCTTTTAGTTTACACTAGTATCATGACAAAACGGTTTGCTTTATATTTTATACAAGCAAAACGTTTACTAAAGCACCAACGTACTTTACTACTTTTATAACTGCTCAAGACACACAGTACCTTACAAAGTACTCGTACTGCAATATCCATAGCTTGCATTATTAATTACAATGTATATGCTGCGTACTTGACAACTTTGTTCATATGAAGAGGTGAAGTGCAAAGGTTTAAATCCTCTGCTTGAGATAAAACGTTTGTACAACATTTATATTGAATGAACCTCAGAGTTTGAGGTACAATGTAGTATTGACGCTTCTACCATCCTAGTTAAGCGAGTCATCTCACTATAACTTAAGTTTACTGGAATCGAAGGTTTGAAAAAATAAATACATCTGACCTCGGTGTAATATTAATAAACATGACTGCCGTTTTACACCTTTTCAAATTATAAATAAAACAACATATGATGAATAAAACGTGTCACTATACCGTAAGAGGAATCATTCACAAATAACCTGCATGTATGAAACGAACCAGAGGATGTTTCAGTCCCTTCTGGAACACTGCCAAGTCAACTGTCAAATTAGCTGCTACTTGACACTGGTCCAGGACCGAAACTTCAAATGTTTTCTTCCCTAACCTGGAGTTTACCTGGAAGAGTTCCGGGGGTCAACGCCCCCGCGGCCCGGTCTGTGACCAGGCCTAAGTGCGGGTCATTTGTCAAATAATTTTTTATTCGATATACCAGGTAGAGATAAAGTATAAACCATATGCAATCACTTTGGACAAGACAGTTGCACTTAGTAATGATTAAGAGTGTCAAATATTGCCAGTCTATAACTACTTTCAATAGCAACAATTACTTGCGGTTAAATAATACATACACCTTGAAATTACTCATTTAAACTACAATAATTTAAGCCACATTCACTTAAAATTAAAAAGATACAGTACACAAATAGCTCAGTGGTGACGTGTACTTAGCTCAGTGGTGACGTGTACTTAGCTCTGAAAACCTGTTTGTGTGCTCTCTGTGAATCTGAACCAGGATGCCCTCTCTTAAGCAGCTTTACCAGCAGCTGAGAGAAGAGCTCAGAGTTGCTAAGCTGGAGATACGGCGATTAACGGAGGAGAACAAGAGGATTCGTAGTAATCCTCCAGTTGTGAGTCCCCAGGTTAAGAGGGAAGCTTGGTCAGTGGCCGGGCAACATGGAACCAAGCTGAAGATCAAGAAAACGGTTGGAGAGGCAGAAACAACGAGAAACCAGAAGACTACCGTGGAAACTTCCAACTCATTCTCGGTGCTACCTGGCGAATGTGAGTGTTCTACTGGGAATGCCACAACGAGCACCAAGGAAGCATTGGCAGACGTGAGTGAGACATCCCTAGAAACCCCAACGAAGACCATCGAGAACGTCTTGACGAATTCTACAAGTGGTGTAATGCTACCTGGCGAATGTGAGTCGACTACTCGGAGCATCACGACGGACGACGCCAAGGAAGGTTAAAAACATTGTTGTTGTTGGGGATAGCCAGATTAGGTACATGGATAGGGCATTCTGCTTGAAGGATAGGAGTAGGAGGCAGAGAGTGTGTTTTCCTGGGGCTGGGATGAAGGATATTGTTAGCCATCTGGATGACATCATGAGAGGTAATGGGAGCAATCCTATTATCTGTCTCAGTGCTGGAGGCAACGATGTTGGCAGACGTAGGAGTGAGGACCTGATTAGCAGGTATAGGTCAGCAATAGAGATAATTAGGAGGAAGGTGGGGAAACCTGTCATATGTGGCATTTTGCCAAGAGAGGAGTTGGAAATGAATGGTTGTCCAGAGCAATTGGTTTTTCCATTGCTGGCTGGACAAATACTGTAAGGAAAATGCGGTAACATTCATTGACAACTGGGACCTCTTCTATGGCAGAAATGACATGTATGCCCGGGAAAGGGGTTCACTTATCTAGGTGTGGGGTGGGGAGCACTGGCCAACGCAGTGGAGGGAGCTGTTTGGTCTTTAAACTAGGAAAAGTTAGTGGTATGGGTTTTTGCGGGAAAACTGAAGTTGCAGGGTAGTAATATGAGTACTAGGAGAAACTGTTAATAGGCAAAATGAGGTGGATATTGGAAAGCCAGTGGCACTAATTGACAAGGACAGTAATAGGTTTAGTGGAATAACAGAAGGAGCAGGAAGGGTAAAGAGAGAGGAGGGTCTTTAAATATTTATTACACAAATAGTCGCAGTGCTAGGAATAAGATGGACGAGTTGAGACTAGTTGTAGTGCAGGTAAACATAGATGTATTTGCCATTACTGAGACGTGGTTTAATTCAAAAGTCGGGACATGCCTGCAGAATGTCACATCCAGGTTTTTAAATTTTTTCCAAGTAGATAGAAGTGTCGGAAAAGGGGGGTGGGGTGGCATTGTATGTCAGGGGATCGCTTAAAACTGTTGCATAAAAATGGGAAATTAAGTCTGAAGTAACACATACAGAGTCTGTTTGGAAGAATTTTCAGAGGGGCATGAAAAATTAATTTTAGGTGTGATATACCGCCCCCCAAAATTTAGATAGGGACCAGGGGAGACTACTATGGGGGGAAAATTGTTAGGGCCACAAGGCACGAAATGTAGTAATTTAGGAGACTTTAACTTTAGTCATATTGAATTGGAATTTCTTGACGGGGGAATTTGGGAATCATACGACTTCTTAGAAGTAGTTCAGGATTGTTTTTTGAAGCAGTTTGTGACAAAACCCTACAAGGGGTAATAACCTGCTTGACTTAGTTCTGGCAAACAACGAATCCCTTGTTAATAATTTAGAAGTTTCAGAAAAAAACTGGGTGCTAGCGACCACAAATCAATTACATTTAGCATTGAATGGAAGTATGATAGTAGGGATAACTCAGAAAACAGTCCAAGATTTTCGCTTAGCAGATTACGATGGGCTTAGAAAAACACTTATCATCTGTTGACTGGGGTAAGAAGAGAGCTATCAATATGAAAGTTTTCTGAACACAATACATGCTGCTCAAAGACGTTTATCCTTATAAAAATTAGATCAAATAGAAATGACCCAAATGGAATGAATAATAGGCTGAAATATCTACTAGGGCATAAGAAAGGAATTTATAGGCGTATCAAAAGAGGCGAGGGTCATCTTTTTGAATCAGTTATTGACTTTAAAGGGAGGGACATTAAAAAGGGGATAAGAAAAGCTAAAAGGGACTATGAAATTAAAGTTGCTAGGGATTCTAAAAACTAACCCAAAAATTTTTTTTTCCAGGTATATAGACAAAAGTCAAGAGATAAGATAGGTCCCCTTAAAAATAACTATGGGTATCTTACTGACAAAGAGAATGAAATGTGCTCCATTTTAAATAATTATTTTCTCTCGGTTTTTACACAGGAAGACACTAATAATATTCCAGTAATTAATTTTTATAGTGGGCCAGAAGAAGATAAATTATGTAACATCACTGTCACTAGTGAAATGGTTGTGAAGCAGATAGACCGACTGAAGCAAAATAAGTCACCGGGTCCTGATGAGGTTTTTTCAAGGGTTTTTTAAGGAATGCAAAATGGAAGTTGTGAACCTTAACTAATATTTTTAATTTATCTCTTTAAACAGGTGTAGTGTCTGATATGTGGAGATGGGGTAATGTAATTCCTATTTTTAAAAACAGGGGACAAGTCGTTACCATCAAATTACCGCCCAATAAGCCTGACCTCAATTGTAGGCAAATTACTAGAGTCAATTATAGCTGAGATTATAAGAAGCCATCTCGATAAGCATAGCTTGATTAATGATACTCAGCATGGATTCACAAGAGGCCCGGGCTTGTCTAACTAATTTATTAACTTTCTTCAGTAAAGCTTTTGAGGCTGTTGAACACGATAAAAAATTTGATATTATTTTTCTTAGATTTTGTAAGGCATTTTGATAGAGTTCCCACCAAAGACTGTTGAAGAAAGTAGCAGCTCATGGCATTGGGGGAAGGGTGCTCTCGTGGATCAAATCATGGCTCACAGACAGGAAGCAGGAGTGGTCCATAAATGGGGTTAAATCCGAAATGGGGGGTCAGTAACAAGTGGCGTTCCACAGGGATCAGTCTTGGGCCCGTTGTTGTTTATAATATATATCAATGATCTTGATGAAGGAATTACTAGTGATATGAGCAAATTCGCCGATTGACACGGGAAAATAGGTAGGATAATTGATTCAAACGTAGATGTTAGGGAACTTCAGGAGGATTTAGACAAACTCTACTCTTGGTCAAAAAGTGGCAGATGCAGTTCAATGTAGATAAATGCAAGGTTCTTTAAGCTCGGGAGTGTCCATAACCCTAGCACTTATAAGTTAAATATGTAGAACTTAGCCAT